AGTTACAGAAACGAGCTACAGATTCTGGGCAGCTGCATTAAAGGCCATACCAGATGAAACTAGGTGGCTTTGCGTGATATTTATAACTTTGCCAGCAAAGCGCAAAAGCAAAAGGTATGCCACAATGGTGTCCAAGGAAAAAATTTTGTACTGCTTCTTTACTCGTGAAAATTGCAGAGGATTTAATATATGTACATATTTAGTTTTAAAAGTTTTATGTTTCTGCATGAAAACTCGAGTTTGAATAAAAATTAACCCAGCTGATGGTCAACGCGCGCAAAAAGATGAGAGTTGGCCATATTTTCGCAGCTGAAACGATCTATGTGGCATGCCTCGTACATTTTCATACATTTCATCTTATCTGTCAAAGTGATGGTCCCGTCATGGCCCCGTCAGAATGAGAACTTTCATACGTGACGCTCAATGATGAAACTGACAGTTAAGTAGACTGTGTGTGTTTGCATAGAGAGCGTCAGATTGGCAACCCTTACGTCGACGGACCCAACAAACGTTGGCCAATACTCAACTTTTGACGCACGTAAGTCCGTCACTGCTGACAGTTGTATAACCTCGCGTTTACACAAGTCAAGACAAACGAGAATAAGCATTAATTGTCATATTGTTTGAGTAAAGTAGGCATCCAGATAATAAATTGTCTTCCAAAAGCCAGAGAAAGTGACGAAGACATCGAGAGAAGTGTGAATAGATTACTGAACAAAGTGTGAATGTTTTGCTATTGTATCTGAAAAATTTACTAGTGTAAACCCCAAGTACGCGGTCATAAGGAACAGCTAATTTTTGTTTGCAGGGGCAAAACCTTCATTGTGGCGTATCTCTACTGCACGTACGTCACTTCCTTCGCATACTTTTCCGTTATTGGCGTACAAGTACCCATTCTGACGGGCCTATGAAGCAAGCGTTTTATCTGCATGGCCTTAAACCTTGCACACCGCCATTTTTTCGTATTTTCATCGAATTTATAGTTGCGTTCCAGATGCTCACGATATTCACGATTTGCAGGTTTTTTTTTGCAGGAAAGCGTTCCAGGTGCCAAAAAACCTGCAAGTCAAACCACTTTTGTGAGAGTAACTTGCTCTCTCTCTCAGTCAGAAGTTGCAGGTTTTAGTCCGAAGTTTTTCTTCAAGTTCATTTTCTGCAAGTTCATGAAAAGTATCAAACGATAGGCAGGGTTGCATTTGTAAGCAAAAACAGATAGCAAAGAACATTAAGCGCCACGGAGACAATCAAATAAATACGTCAAGCATTGCATATGTGTGAGATTGGCTCGTGTCTTGCCCGCAAACGTTCAAATAAACGCGTTAATTCAACAAACAATTTCTTTTTCTTGTCCGCGCACTTGCACACCACGACGATCAGAAGGCAAGTGCGCTTCTTTTTTGTCAAGCAAACGCGAGACGGCTGATAAAGATATTTGATCGTCTCCATGGCGCTTAACATAAAAAAAATGGAAGTAGTTACAGGAAAAGTGGCTTTTCGCGTTCCAGGTGATTTTTATTTTTTCTCTCTTGCTCCTCTCTTTCAAGAGAGTAATTTTATTATTTGACAGTTTTACAGGTTTATATACGAAGTTATCTGGAACGCAACTTATGTTTTTACCAGGCTGGTCCCAAGACCCACGCACCACCCAACGCTGAAAGGATTTTAATATAGTAATCGTTTATGTAGCGGGCCACGTGCTCCAAGACAGACACGCCCTTGCATCCTGTGATTAACCCAGGTCCCTGCTTAAAATAGTAAGCGTAGATACATACATACATAGTATGTATGTACACATCGTCAACGGAAATGCAAAAAGTCGTGAATAATATTATTTTTTTGTTTTATAAATCGATGTGGGGAGTTATAATTCGATCAAATCAAAAAGTGAATTTTGAATTTTTTTAGGAGTCACGGCATTTTGCATTTCAAACAATGTACAAACGTTTATGCAAGCATATCTAGAATCTAGATCAATGACCTTTTTGATGCACGAACGCACTAATTGCAGTCACAAACACATAGTTTTTCAATCTACAACATCCGTTTGTCGTTTTGATTTCAGTTCCTGGTTGTGCACATTTTCGATGGCGATCGCCGTGGGCGCAGCACTTCTGTTGCCGATTTCAATAGCCAGCAATGAAATTTTGTTGCTGTACCCCAACAGCTACTACGTGAAATGGTTGAATAGCTCTCTTATACAAGGTAAATTCTTAACTGATTCGTAAGCGGAGACATAATCGCTATATGCAATATGTTTTTTTTGTTTTTCAAAGGTCTTTGGAATCACGTGTTTCTATTCTCCAATCTCTCGCTGTTTGTATTTCTGCCTTTCGCGTACTTATTCACCGAGTCCACAGGGTTTGTGGGACATAAGAAGGGCATAATTGCACGCGTCTATGAAACATTTACAGTATTCAGTCTTTTAGCAACGGTTGTCTTGGGCATAACCTATGTACTGTCCGCCGTCATGGATCCGGAAAGAATTGGATTTTTGTCACTGCTAAGTACGTACTGTAGTGATGTACTTCACTTATTTACTTTTATTGCCCAACAGCAGTTGCAAAAACATGGATATCCAGTGTAGCGGAAAATACACCGGAAATCTATTTCCGTAGTGAATTGCATTTGTATTATTTGTGTTCTGTTAATCAATTGTTTCAGTTCAGTTTCAATAATATTCACTGCTGCTTGTTGCATTTTTATTTCCAGATTTGGGCAGTGTACATCTACCATTTCTATACTCCTGCGTTTCATTTCTGGGTGTGCTTCTACTTCTCGGTGAGTAAAAAATAGTACATTGATTTACATACATTTGCATGTCGGTATACATATGTAAATACAAAATTTCGAGTTCTAATGATTAAACATTACACAATATGGGAATCAATTTAAAGTGCTTGGGCTTATTTTTGTGTCCATATTTAGAATTCTGTTCTGAGTTTCTCTTGAAATGCAGCTATGTAGTCAATTTCTTTAGAATTATTCTTCTTTGCGAATTTAATGCTCGTCTCATAATTTTTTTCATCGCCCAATCGCAGATAGGCCGCTGCACGATATAACCAGGATCGTAAGTTCTTTTCGTCTAATTTGTTAATCACGTAGTCAGCATCGATTATTGCGCGTTTAGCATTGCGAAGCCTTTGACGATGTACATATATAAACGCGTTTATAATAAATTATTGTTCGCCTTTTTTATCTATGTATACTTACTTGAGATAAGAGAGCGCTCGGTTATTGTAAAGTATCGGGCTATCCTTTACGTGTTCTATGGCTTTTGTGTACATTTGTATGGCCTTTTCGTAGTTCTGCTTGCGGAAAGCTTCGTTGCCTAGACTGTGAAGGGTAAAGTCTTTGAATACATTCATCTTCTCGTATTATGCTTTGACTAACTAACCTGCGAAAGTTTTGAGCTATACGCTCGCGTTCCTGCCGCACCTTAGCGCGTTCGGCGGCGTCTTGCTCCATCTGCTGCATGAAGGTATATTTGTCCATTTGCTGGGGACCGCCCTGATCGTTAGGGTCTTTCTCATGGGCCGCCTTCCGATTGAGCACCGTGCGATCCTGACGCACGCTGACAATAAATTTATCCTCATTGATGTCAGACTTACTAACGGAAAAAAGTGAAAATGCGTGTTGGCGCTATAGTAGTTCACTATGACTATGAAGCATTATCTTTTGTCGTTACTTGCTGTAATTGACTTACGTATCTGGCTTTTTTGTACTTTCTGACTCCGATTTATTAGCGCTGGCCATATCCTCAAGTAGTTTCATTACCTGATTGACTTTTGACTCAAAGTCCAGGAAGTCTTCGTCCATATCCCCTTGAGACATAGCACTTTATAATCGTTTTTTAATAAAAGTAATATACGTTTCTGTTTTGCTGGTGTAGTTTGCGTTGTGAGGTATAGAAATATATTGTCCTTTATGTTCTCTTTCTTTATTGTTTTGTTCACTTTGACAAATTAGGTTTTTATGTACCCCCGTTTCCAAGGCAAAGGTTTCGATAGTAAATCAAGAAAGTTTTTTATTTATAGATTTACAGTGAGCAGGCAGACTGAATCACTTCTCAGTGAAAAATAGAAATGTTCAGTGATGGACATACATATTTACTTAAATACTTTTGTTTCAAGAAACTAAATACCCAATTTAGATATGCTAAATACTCAATACTAGCAAAATTACATTTGAACATTATTTTATACTTACGAACTAATTTGTATAAACTATTTAGAGAATCAGTCTTTGTTTTGGGTTCTAAGATACTTGGTTTTTTACTAAATTATTTTGTTAATTGAATCTATTTCATATATTTCCGTAGTTTGTACACCTCTTGGTTTCGTTCGTCTCTTTGGCGTAATGGGACAAGTGCTGGTGAAGCCGCATCTGCTTCGCGACGTCAATGAGGAATACCAAGTATACTACATGGAAATCGCCAGTGTGAAACGAAAATTAGCGAACATTGAACTGCTGAATGTCAGCATCAGTGGCAACGGTAGCAGCAGCTTGCGTTCCAGTTTTACGCGCAGCTACACAAATGGTGGTGCCGGCGGCTATTACAAACATACATCGTTGGAGCACCTGTATCAACGAAAACCGCTAGATAGCCACCAAAACGAGCATGAAAAGCTCAATCAAAGACTGAGAGAATTGGAGTCTGAAAGTCGAGAGCTGGAAAAGCTACGCAAGTCGTCAGCGTTTCAACGCAACTTTGTCTATCCACTGGCAATGCTATCGTTATTGTTCTTTACGGGAATAACAGTGCTGTTGGTGGTGCAAAATACACTGGAGTTGTTAATTGGAATCAAAGCATTACCTCTTAGCAAAAGAGTAAGTTGTTTTTGTTTTGTTTAGCTCGTCATCAGTTCAAATATAAATTGTTTTTTTTGTTTAGTTGCAGCAATTCACACTTGGCATCACGTCGCTGTCCAAGCTCGGTCCGTTTGGCGCTGGCTTAGAAGTGTGTCTAATATTTTATTTGGGTGCCACTTCGGTCGTTGGGTTCTACACGATGCCTTTTATGCGTCATGTGCGCCCACAAAAACGAAAAACTTCACTCGCCCAATTGATACTCAACTGTGCGTTGGTTTTAATTTTGAGTTCAGCTCTGCCGCTGCTCAGCAGAATTATTGGTGAGTTATAATCTAGACACGAGGCGGCATTGACTCAGATTAAAGGTGCTATGCATACTTGCTGCAAATTGTTCTCTTGCATTTTAGAACGCAATTGCTGCGACGCCGTACTGTTAAGTGACATTGGTGTATATCAAGTCTAATCCTAAATCTGTGATTGCACCTTTAATCCGGAGTATGGTTGTTGTCTGAATTAACTTTTAAAAGCCTTAATTATTGCCTTTCGATTCTTTTTTTTTGTGTAACTCAATTATTGAACATTTTCGTTGCAGGTATTACGAACTTTGATCTGTTGGGTGACTTTGGTGCCATAGAATGGCTCGGCAACTTTCAGATTGTTTTACTTTACAATTTGATCTTTGGCACCACGACGGCGCTTTGTTTGGTTAATAAATTTACAGCAGCTGTGCGTCAAGAGTTGTGTGCGCGGTTAGTAGAGAACTACGTGCTCTTCACCAATTACATGTCATTCATTAATTGATATTTATGTCATCGGCGCAATCAAACCTTTTCTAGTGACCGTACCACCCAAATGTCGATGAGTAAGCAACGCTTACTTTTGCATGGCATTATTACGGGTTTGGGCAGTGGTTTTGTTGCGTCGCAAATAACTAAGCTGGTAGGTTACTATTATGATAGCAATGCAGTTGAAGCAAATACTAACGGTGATGTAGAGAGTTGAAGTGGGTTAGAGCAAAGCTTGGCTGCGACCCTCACAATAGTCGGCGATACATTTTCCGTAAAGGAGCGGAAATATAAAAATTACCAATCCACGAATGCCATTGCGACATTAAATTTCGGCGCATTTCACTATAATAAGTATTTATTTATCAGAAGGATTCTCCCAAATTCTCTTAAACGATTTTATGTTTAGTCAAAAAAAAAAAAAAACGTTTTATCAAAAATTTAACTTATTGTATTTCGAATTTCGTTAGTTTTAATTTCTTTGGAATTAGTTAATTAAAATTTTTTAAAACTTTTTTGTATGTCTATAATGTAAACAAGTCTTTAAATAAATAAGTAGGTACACTAGTAAATACATACATACCTACATACATATGGCTGAGCTTTCCAATAATACGTATTTAGAAAAAACCTTTCGGTAATTCGAAATCCTTTCATAGTTTGGCAGTTTATTCCATTTATTGAAATTAAACTTGTACAACCGTTATTTTATTTTAATTCGAAACTTGAAACTCATTTAACAAAAGCAAAAAAATGTCAGTCTAATTATTCGTAAAGGCGAAACGAGCTAGTCAGAGCACTTCCTTTAAACATTTTAAAACTTTCATTTACTAACAAGTAACAACTGCATGCTCGGTCTTTGTATCGAAATATGTATCTACATGCGTTGCCATTAATCATCCAATGAACGCTAGAATAAGGTTAATTTATATTTATAGTATCGGCTACTATTATTAGGTACCAATTTTATAACATACGCACGCATATATGTACGTACATATTTTGTATATCTCAGGGACCGTAACGATTATATATGTAAACCTTTTGTGTGTGTTTTTTTTTAAACAAAATTTAAACTCAGAAAGTAACTTTTGAAGTTGATATTTTCCCGAGTCACAAAGATAAGCTATTTCAGTACGATTTTTTAATAGAAATTTGAGAAATAATCGTTATTTACGGTCTATGGTATTTCTAGTTGGGGCATAGTGCCATCAAAAATTGATTCCAAATTAGTGAATTTCAACGAACACACATATTAAAAATGGCCAACACGATTTTATTATATATGTACATTTGTATATTAAGATCATTCAGCGTTATTCTGATATAAATGATTTGCTCATGTAATTTTATGTGATATGAAAATACACTATTGTAATGTGTTAAATAAAAACTGCATGTTGAAAAGTAATCAAACTAAAGTGTATTAATTTTTCACCAACTTTAAAAGCACTTATATTCATCCATTCGCACTTGACAACTGATCGTCCACGCTTAGTTAATCCTATAATTCAAATATCAAAAGCTTATCGTTCCAAATTTCAATTAAACTTTAGTGACCTAAATAAAGAACTTGCAATTTAATTTTATTTACAGGCTGACTTCGATGTTCCTGTATGCATAGAAGTTTCTTCGTTTGGATGTCGCGTTATTTTGTTTTCTGGAAATTATAATTTCTTTAATCGATATACTGTGATTGTAATGCTAATGCATAGATAGAAAATAGTTAAAATATTAATCTTAAATAAATTCAATATAAGGAAAGTCTATGTTTCATTGTTTATTGCGCAAATGAATGGATTTTATTCGTTTTAAACTAAAAGAACGAAGTAACAAAACATTAAAATAGTGCTTGTTTGGTCATATGTAGTGCTAATGAGTGTACATATGTACGTATTTGAATTTGTACTCGTGGGTGTCTATAGCCGTATTTTCTATATCTCGGAACCATAACAACAACGTTTACTTATACTCAACAAAGCTATGCTATTTAGTATAACTGCATAAAAAAATTTGAAATAACAAAAAGCTGGAACCCTTGTTGGTTTAAACTTGGCATGGATTTTTTTCTGTTTCTTCATTTTCTTCGTACGTAGCGAGGGTGCCCATCAACGTTTTCTCATGCCCGCCTAAGCCTCTATCGTCACATCCTTCGCTCGCGTTTACAACTTCGTCAAAATCACGCATATCCAACTCATGGAGGGCTTGTTGCACCATAGCAGCTAGCTCTGGGGGCAAGTCTTTCAAATCATTATGTCGCTCCCTCGCGATTGCGCTGGTTATGCGCGGGTTGCTCGTACTGACGTTCACTCTTCTGCTGGAATTGCCACCCGAGTCCGTGGTAGTCGACGGTGACGTTTCGTATGCATGCATGGCAGCATTTGTGAATTCGCTGAGGCTGAATGTGCCTATAGCCCCTGCAAAGCCACCGTATTCTGAAGACATTATGCTGCGCCCAGATTCTGTTGATAATGAATCCACAGAGTCGTCTGAAATACCGACTCGCGAAGTTTTATTTGAGTCTTCTCGTTCCGTTGTCAAAGTTTCTGAATCGTTAATTTTAAGGACAACCGAACATTTCGTGTTGGTTGTGGTGGTTGTTGTCGCCTCCGTTTCGATGACGTTACTGGAATCAACAGATGAAGCACTGTAACCCTGAAGTAAGAATTGAGAGGGTGAATACTCGCTATTGCAAGAGGATGCAGTTCCACTCATGTCGCCAATGCCGGCTAGGCATTGTATGCGTTGGTCCAGCTCGGCAATTTTAGCTGCAAGAATTCTGCAACAAAAATGTATACATGTATATTATACAAACATCCTACACATGATAATGGTGGCAGAAGAAATAAAAGGATAGGATTAGAGTGAACATAAGTATTAACTATAAACACCGCCTAAACAATATGTTCACATCGTTTCTATAACAAAAACTTACTTGTTAGTTTTCTTTTGATGATTAAGAGCGATATGCTTGTCGTTTAAATTATCTAGCAGCGCCAAACAGAGTGATTTCAAGTCTTGAATAGTCTCTGTTTTTGTAGGTAAGTCCACGCCACTATCAAGCATTGTTTTGACTGCAATTATACATTAACATTAATATTATTTAAAGTTTTTACTGTTAAAATATTTTGCAGTGAACGGAAGAATACATATCGCTAATTTACGGAAATGTTGTCATAAATAAAAAAAAAAAGAATTTTTCAGCGGGCACACTTAAGGTTTTTTATATGCTACCAAAATGCATCGCTATTGCCTTTTACGTGGAAACTACAAAATATTTTACGCAAAATTGTTAGAAATTTGCCAAACAAATTTCTTTATTTGGGTTATAAAAGTATGAATGAGGGATATTTAACACAAGTTTAATATAAGGTCCTGGTACATAATATGTACTATATGTAAGTAAAAAAATTGTATAAACGAAAAAGGTAGCTAAAAGAGTGAAACACAACATCAATGGTGTATTATGCACCTCTTTACCTTGTTTATGGGACAAAATACTTTCATCATTTGCATGGGAACCTAGTTTAATAATACCCTTTTTACGCTTCGTTTCCAACATAGTCTTTGAAGCATGAAATAAGTTAAATTAAGTTACATATTAGTTTATACAAACGACTAAGACCAAATAAAGCAGACCAAATCAGCGTTTTTTATGTTAGTATTTTATACCTTGTATTTGTTAAGAGATTGCTTTGTTATATCCAATTCGCACTCAACATTTTTTGACCGTTCGTGTAGGTACTTATTTTCTAACAATACGCCATCAATATCGATTAGCTATAAAAATTAGAAAAGGTATTATTGCGTGATATAGCTTTAATGTAAATTTCACAAAAAACATATTCTGCCAGTGTCATAATCCAAAAACCAAAAACTGCAGAAAAACGGCTTTAAGGGTTTGAATTTACATACATACATGTGTATATGCACGCTCATAGTAGAAATCAATACATATTTTGTTCTAATGAGGTACTGGTAATCGGTACATCTATGGAATTTTTACACAACATAGAACATCTCTGTATACCTAACTAAATTTTTTTTTTTTGGATTATGACACAGAAAATGTGCGATATGTACCTTAGGATGTGATTCGTTGGCTTTTAGTGCATTTAGCAGTTCATGATTCAGCCTATGCGCCTTGCATTTGTAAGCATCACGTTCTGATATAATATCCTCTTTTTCGTCTATTAAAGTTTTTAGATCAAAGGCAAGCTGTACATTCTAACAAGAGGAACCTATCTGGATAAACTTTTTTTTACTTGTATTTGGTAATACACTATTTACCTTCTTTTTCAGGTTCTCCAAATGACAAATAAAATTCGAACGCTCCCCCTTCCATTGCACAGCTTCCGAATTGCTTGATTCAGCAATCAATTCATTTTGCAATCTTTCCGATTTTCCTTCCTTTGTAGCAGACCTTAGGAGTTCGATATCGCCCTGCAGCTCGTTTAACTTTTGCTTCAGAGATTCTACTTCCGTGGTGAGCTTTATATTTCTCTCTCGCGTTTCGTGCAGTATTGATGCTACACTAGTTTTATTGCCCTCCATTCCAACCCAACTGCTGTATTCATTGTTACGTGTTATAGCTGAATAACGTAGTTGCAAGGTCTCCGCCATTAATTTGAATTGATCACGCTCGGTTCGAAATTGTTCCAGCTCCTTGCGTAAAATACGTAGTGCTTCCACTTTACTCACCAATTTCCTATGTAAAGCGGAAGTCTGCAAATAAACTTAATTATCAAGTCTTAACTACTGTTCACTGATTTGTGTATAAATTCGAAAAAAGGACAAAATATCAAATTATCCATAAAGAAAGCGAATACCGATGACACAACCGCCGCTTTTCCCCCCAAGAACCCTAACAAATCAATTGATGAACTCACATTGAATTCTCCCATATGTTCCCGATAAAGCTCAAAGTCAACCGAATCCACATGGTTTTGCGATTGGAATTCATCGTTGGAAATCATTTTCTTGTCTCTAGCACTATTTATGAGATTTCGGGTAAAATTTTATAAACCGAACTAAAATCATTTACAAAAACGAAAACTTCGGTGACAGTAGTAGTGATGTAATATCGATACATCAATGTTTTTGAATTTATTTCAAACATCGATGTTTTTTTCGATGTTCGATGTTTTTCTCTATAACCATCGCATAGGTAAGTGAAAATCTACGAGCACAATTTGAATAGATAAATATAGCTAATTAAATACAAATTATTAATTCTTTAGGTTATTGGTGTTGGCACAACTTGAAATCTTTAAGTCGCAGGCTTCTTTGTGGGACTGTTTATGTGTGTGTTTTCAATGAAAATCTTTCATCTTATGTGTATGTATGTATATAAATGTGTTTTCGAAGGTAGTTTCCAATAATTCGAATTCTGTTTTACTGAAATCTTAATATGAATTATTAAGAAATTGACAAATTGAAATTTACAAGACTTTTAATAAATTTTCAGCAATATATGTAAATGGCTGTGTTTATAATCACAATAATGCAAAATATCACTCTCTTTTAAATCAAAGTCCAAATTGAACAATTTTAGCTTGTATGGTTGTGAAATTAAAGACACTGATGGTTTGCATATCTGCGTTAATGAATTCAGCCACCACTTAAAAGCCGCCATTTAAAAAGGTCGATGCATCGATCCATCGATGTTGCTCCCCAAAAACATCCAGCACTAGCGGAAGTATATGAAACGATACGAGTAAAATCAAATACATAATCGATAGGTCTCGTTCGATTCCAAGTAATTTTGATATCGATACTTTTAATCCAAGAACTGAATATGGTAGATCCCTGCAAAAATCGCGACTACTCCATGCATGCGTGTAAAGAGTATCACCTAAGGACCAAGGAGTACTCCAAAATTAACCACAATTCATATAAAAAATATGACCGCATTAACATTGTGATGTCCTAGGGCAGGACCATATCGATGGCTGAGTGGAAGATCGACCTA